TGTGTGTGTGTGTGTGTGTGTGTGGATCAGAAGGAGGAGTAACCCAGGGTGCCAAAACCAGACGCAGTCAGGAATCGGCTTGCTTCACCTCTGAAGAGTCAACCGTAAAAGCTTTTTTTTCCTGTATCCTTCAAAAGCCACAAGGAAAACAATAGAAATGAATGAAGTGTTGGAAAATTTTGAATCTCCAGAAGACCAATGAGCTGAATATCTGACAAGTCAGATTACTGAAATTCCTGCTTTGTTTGAATTTTGCTTAAATTTTGATCTAAAACTCACACTGTATTGTTGTAAAAATAAATAAATAAATAGCTTTGTGAGATTTTTTGCCATTTCTGTTAACCTCTGTAGACAGCAGGCTAAAGGACATCATGTAGGCCGTGCTCAAAAAGTGCCAGCAGCAGATTTACCTCCAGCTAAGGAAAAGTCACCTGGATGTGACACATCCCCTCCTCCGTACCATTCTCATCTGTCATCCAGAAATCCTGCTGACCTTCTGTTCTCCAGTCTGCAGTGATGTGACTCTGAGGAGGTCAGCGGAGCCAAACTGTCCGGGCTCATCAAACCGCTGTCCAGTCTTCACAGAAAATTCATTCACACTCTTTATCACAATGGAAATCATAGAGGAATGTTTGTTAAAGTGCTTTATTTAAGGGAGATGAGATTGCACTTTTATTTAATATCTATACAAATAAGAAGTCAAGTAAAATTGGACAAAATCTAAGGGATTGGTTTAGGAGAAATGATGAATGGATAAAATGTTCATAAAACTTTATTTACATTATGATTATCAAAACAGTGCTGTACAGAAAGTTAAACTTTATGTCAGACCATAAGTCTAAATATAACTTATGTTCAAGGACGAAAGACGCAAAGAAAGAGAGGCTTTTGTTGAGGACAGGAAATTAAAAAGAAATGAAATAGGGCAATGAGAGCAAAGGAGAATCATAAATCTAGTTTGTTTATGGCTTTGGACCACAGAGTCATTCTGCCCTCAAGAGGCGTCAGATGGTACTGCAGCTGTCTCACCGCTGTGTCTATAAGAGACGCCACTGTGTGCTTCCTGAGCTGACAAACCTAAGCTGACAGCTACAGGTAGTTAATGCCACAGAAGATGAGAGACATGGGAATTTACTAATTAACAGCAAAGATTTTATGAAAACCTCCCTAGGAAATACTGCAGCTTCCTAATGTACACAGAGCTGTGGCTTAGTCTGTTTACACCACAAACATTTAATGTGGTTGCATTAAAGATCAGGAGAAGAAGAATAACAATAGTGGATCAGGGATAACTTCATGTTCGCACCAATTAATATAAATGAGCAAATTATTCTGATGACGCTGCTGATCAGTTGAAACATTTATATCCCTATGGTCTTTAATAATAATAACAATAGTAACAACAAATAAATGTTTGTTGGTATGGAATACATTTTAAACAATAATATTCATTTAAAAATTAATATTTTTAAAATTAAATATTTGTAAAATGAAGTCATTCCACAATTTTTAATAATTAAATCTTTACAGGTAGGATGATTTTAATATATAAAATAAATACTTATATTGGGAAAACCTTTAATGATATTATTTTTCACAATGTCTTATAATCATGAAATGTTTATGGTAACATTGCTGAATATCTTTGAGTAATAATTATTCTGAAAACACAAATTTTAGTAGATCATTTATAAATATAATTTATAATGGAATTACTGTAAATTTGTCAGTGAAATTAAACAAACTTATAATTAAAGCTATAGAAATTCAAAAATATGTTAAAAGCCTTGGGAAATAAGTAATAATATAATAATAAAAATAATAATAAGATAAAATAAATCCCCTGAGAGGGTAATTTAATTTTTTTCATATATTCAATAAGACATGCATGGTTCAAAGAACAGTGAAAAACCTGGTTACAGTGGTCTGATTCTCAAACAAAGCAAGTTAAAACTACTACATAAAAATAAATGTAAATGTCAATGCACTCTTTATGTTTAGCTATTAAATATGTGAATGCATTCCTCTGGATAGATTTAGAGCTTTAGAGTCATGAGGGGATTGCTGCCCCTGATCAATACTGACACACACACTACCAAGATGCACACAAACACACACAAACACACACTCAAAACTTCACACACAACCCTGCCGTTCTCTGATCCAAAAGGTAAACTTTGATTTGAAAATGCTTCTGACAAAATAACACATCACATCAAAACACTCTAAAGAAAGTCTATTTGTGTGATTTTCTTCACTTTTTTTACCCATTCCTTCTCCTCTGTTCCAGATCGATTTGTTTCTTTGAAGACGGATTGTGAGAAGAAAACAGAACAGCTCAATCCATCATTCTGTCTGCCTGAGGCCCTGCGCCATGAACAATATATTACTGGTGGTATCTGAAAGCACCCGCGGGACACCGGCGCAGTTCAAAGCCGTAGCCACAAACAAACAGAATGGAACCACGCGACTTATTCCAGATCATTCGCTCCACTTCTTCAGCGTCACGCCAATTAGGATCAGAGAGAGGCAGCATTTCAACACCTTTATCTGACAATCTAGACTCAAAGCAAGACGAGACATTTGCCAGCATCCATGAACTGCTCCTGGACACTTCACTGCTGCTTCACCAGAGGAGCCGCAGAAACATGCAGAAGAAGGCCGGAGAAGAAGAACAGCTGGAGTTCGTTGCCTCTATGAATTCAGACTCTGGTGTGAAGGCAGGGATGTTTAATGCTTTTATTTGGGATCCATGCATTCGAAACATGAATAATTACAAATGTTTGAAGTGTCGTTTTGCTTAGTTTCAGTTCTCCCGCGGTCTTAAGAAATGGAGCTTTTTACCCTGTGTCTCACTGACACCCTGTTCAATTTTACCAGGGTATTTTTGTGTGTGTGGTTTCTGGAACTGATAGTCTGACAGGACACTCCCACCCTGCTCCTCGCAGATGTCCGAACATGACATCTGCCGCACTCCTCCAGAGCATCATCTATGAGGATTATTTATTCGTTTGCTTTAGTTGAAGTATTTCAAATCACATGAAAAAAGCCTGATGGTCAAAAACCAATAAATTCTAAATAAGGACCTTTTTCTATTGCCAATTAGTAGGCATTCAAAAGCTTGGCGGTCAAAAGCTCAAAATAGGAGCAACAATAACCTAATGAATACAAAAAGTATTTTTTGTATTAAAAATTTGGACCAATCTTAATTTGGAAATCTGTGAAAAAGAAAAACTTGAAAAAGAAAAACTTAAAAACTGGTAATGCCAGTCATTGTGGCAACAACTGCAATCTTGCTTTTGACATGACTGGAAATTAGGGTTTTTTTACAATGGAGAGATTAACCACTAGTAATACAGCCTATTTGAGTTCTGGTCACTATATCAACAGGATTTAAGCTCAGACTTTCATTAGGCCACTCCTAAGTCTTGAGTTTTTAAGGCTTTCAGACTTGGACTTGCCCTGTGTGCTTAATGATTGTCCCACTGCACAAACCCAAATGTGCATAAAGTTAAGCTCTGACTAGCTGCACTATTCCATTATTATTTGTAGTTTGATTAGCAAAGATATATCAGTCTTGCACAGCAGAAACAAACTTAAAGCTGTAACATTTTGTGTTATACCTAAATATAAGGGATCAGAACCAACTAGAAATTCAAGAAAAAGAGAACTTTTAAAAAACTGTAGTCTTCCAGGAAGCAAATCAAAACACAAAGATACTGTCTGTCCCAATAAGTGTCTCACTTCCAAGACATTAAGACATCAGATGTGTTTATTGTCAATCAGTCTATGACATAAAACAAAACTACTACTGACAGTTAATATGGCAGGATTAGTTGGGCTACAAATGATTTTTTCAACTAAAAAAGATTACAGTTAAATAGGATATAACTAACTACCATACTGGGTAACACTTTATTTGATGGATTGTGAATAAGACTGTCATAACACTGTCATAAACATGACATAACACCTGTCATGAACATGAATAAGTCTTCATGAATATTTATGACTGCTGTCATAAAGTGCCATTCGGTAAATTATGACACTTTTAATACAAAGTTATTATTCAAAATGT